ACAGACAGACAGACAGAGAGACAGACAGACAGGCAGACGGACAGGCAGGCAGACAGACAGAGAGACAGACAAAGGGACAGACAGACAGGCAGACGGACAGGCAGGCAGACAGACAGGAGGGAGAAGGAGGGGGAAAAGAGACATTAAATGAGGTGAGTCCAATCCAGAGGGAGGCCTCACTTTAAATCTGCTGGTGAAAAGCTCCAGGCGGCCAATGAATTCCTCCTCCTGGTACACGGCCTGCAGGGCACGGACACACTGCAGACGCACTGGACTTTGCTGAAGAAAGAAACACACTGTAAATTACATACAGACTGATATAAGACCGAGAGGACATTTCTCTTTGTGTGAGGGAGAGTGTGTGTGAACTTTTTTGGGTCTGTGTACAGATATTCTACAATAGCGCCGTCTGGTGTGAGAGGCTTTCTGACTATTAATCTTGAATATAAAAGGAAAAGATGCCTATAGCCTGTACACTGCAGTCCTCTGCTGCCCTGCAGAGAGCTGCAGACAAACAGCTGCTGCCACTGTGACACAGGTGAGATTCAAGGGCCGTACTGAACAGTTTCAAGCTTCATTCAAAATACGTTGACCTTAAACTTATAAATTAACATTTGAATGGGGCACAGGTTTTATTTTTGCATGTTTATTCATTCTGTTTGAACTGGGTGGTTCTGCTTAATTGCAGATTAGGTTTAAGCTGAACTAATATCATTAGTATTAAATTATAAAAACATGTATAAATAGTTGGTTAAATACATGCCTTGAATTTCGGAAATTATCTTATCCAACAGAATCAATATTTGTTGGCCATAAGCCCTTTCAAACATAATTTGTACTGTGGGAAAATGTTTCTCGTCCTGCTTTTAGCTAATATAGAGGGATACACACAAGTGTATAGGTGGCAGGTCTAGAAGCAATATTTAATGCCCCTTTCGTGCTAGTGCTCTTCTGGTTCGGAACCGGATCTTTTCAGACACCGTTTTGTTCACACCGCCCCGAGCCCGACTGCTGCTGCCTCTGCTGCGTCATGACGTCACCGTTTCGTTTACGTCGCTGATTTTCTCCCCAATGGCACTCTCACAACAACAACAACAATGGGGGACTGCGTCGGGTCTATGATCATGTTACTTTTAATCATACGAAGCCAGATTAAATTAAATAACGACTTCTCCAACCTTTTCTCCAGAGTGCCGTGGTTCATTGTTTATTAATGTGCTTCAGCGGCATTTACCGACCGCTGCAGTGCTGCTCTTCCACCGGAGTTTATTCTCCTGTTAATTCACACGGCAGCGGCCGCTGTAAAGTATTCACTGTCTGACTGTCACACAAGCAGCTGATACATATCCCCAATTCCCCAAGTGAATGTGTTTCAGTATGAATTGACGCTGTTCGGCCCATGGATGTATAATAAGAACTGGATACAGCGTGGGAGGCGGGGTCTCGTTCTTTCGAATGAGAGCTGCTCATTGGTGCATGAGGACAAAATGGCCCAACTTTTGAGAGAGCGAAACGTCACAGATGACCCATCATGCCTAGCTGTCAGAGCAGAAGAACTCGTATGTGCGCTTACAGAGCATGCGCCCCTTAAGCCCCGCCCCCCCAAGTTCCCACTCTCGGCTCAGTAGAATGAATGGAGACTAGATTTGGCTTTTAGTGCATTTTACAACTTTCAGGACCGAATGATTCTAATAAGGGCTATACAATAGTTCATACTGGGTAGATTATTTAAAGGAGACCTATCATGCTATATTTAAATGATATAGTGTATGACCATACCTATATAAGGTATATTTATACATTTTATTTTTCAAAATACCAAACAGATAATTTTTTAGCCATGCCTCGTTTCGCTCATTTTCGCTCTATTCCAAGCCTGTCTTTGAAAATTCTGAGCAGCAGCTGACCACGCCCCCCTGCAGAAGAGGGGGGCATGAGCCGGCGAGAGTCACGTTACCATGTTTGCTGTGATTACGAGTGTGGAATAAACATGTCATCTCAGAGCAATGCATGTGTTCAAGCATATTATCAATTTGATCCAGAAACTGACCCTGAAGCAGCGGAGGTTTTGGTGGAAGTGCAAACATCTCGGTTGCAGCGGGACGTTCTGAATGGTTAGTTGA